AATCCACCCCAAAGGGGGGGAAGGAGGGGGGGAAAAAAAAAAAAAAAAAAAAAAAAAAAAAAAAGCAAGAAAGAAAAAAAAAAAAGCATGGACAGTTCATCTCCATTTGTTTTTCAAAGTCACTATTGCACCCAGTTTGAAAGGGGTGGGGGAGAGGAGTCTGTAATCAGGCAATTATGCCAGTGACAAGCAAGGATGATTAAGGGTGGAAGGGTCAGGGGTTTTGCTGATGAACTGTCAGCGCAGGGGAGCGTTCACGAGCGGTGCTGTAGCTGTGAGCTCCTCACTGTTTCTATTATAAATCTCTTTACAAAGGGTCCATCGTTCTGTTTCAAGAACAGCCACAGGGCCTTGAAGAACACGTGTTTTTCATTAAATATTAACAACTGGAGGGGTGGGGAAAGGGAAATCATAATCCAAAAATCAAACTGAAGAAATAGTAATCACATCACTCTCATCTTTTACTTCTCAGCTTGCTCTAGGGCAAACCCCACTGACATTGAACCCATATGGCTGACATGGGGGGATTTTTTTCTTCCTGGAAGCCCATTTTCAGTGTAGAGCTTGATAAGAGGGAGTTGTGTGCACCCACTACAGGTGTTTGCCCATGACCTGTAGGGCCAGCAATGAGAAAGCATTGCTGGTTCATGCTGGCACTATAGTTCCTGTCATCCCACAGGAGACTGGACACTGACTTTTTGCAGCTAGAGAAAGGAAGAGGAGGAGGATCTTGCGGTTAAAGACATTCTGGGTTTTGAACCCATTTTTGGCTATGCCACAGATCTCCTGAACACCCACAGAGGCAAGTCACGGAGTCAGAACTGTCAGAGCACAGCCATCAAGCTGCAGCACAGAGCAGCACAACTCTTGACAGCATGAATACGAGCACCAGCCATACACTTCACCTATGGGATCAGCCCAAAGTAAAAATGCAACTCGAGTAGAGCTAAAGATACATGCACAGATCTGGGGGCTGAGGAGCAGGGATGGTTCCAGCGAACAGGGGACTTGCTACATAGCACCTGCTATAGGTAGGGACCACAGACTCCCCCCTGCCCTGCTGGGCAAGGGCAGCTCCCAGCCCATGGTGAAAACTGAATTATTTGTGCAACAGAAACCAAAAAGTTTGGAGAATCAATATCTAACCAGCGTCAAACGTATCACAGCCCACTCCTGAATGCAGAGAGAAATGGACAACACATCTACAGCCTAAGCTTTGGGCTGAGCCTCAGCACCGGAGGTTTTACCAGGAAGCAGGGAAGGCACTGCACCAGGAACTGCGGTTCCTGGAACCAGCCATCAGCTTCAGGCAGGAGCGAGCACTGGCTGGATTGCTGAGACAGCGGTTAAAAGGATGGCACTGATCTGCCACGTCAAAAGCTAGGTTATGTGCAGACTCTATGAACTCAACCGTGTTAAGCACCTGAAAGCTATATGCAAAGATCCATCCACGTAATAAAACCTTGGATGCTGAAACACTTCCCATTGTGCCCCAGGACCACGGTGGATCGAAGAAGGTTACTGCGCTCTGCAGGCCCTGACAAGGGCAGGGACAAAGCAGTCAGGGTGTCTGTCCTCATGAGGACACCAGAAAAGCTGGCAGAGAGTTACCTCCCCAGCATGCATGGCCCCAAAGGGGTCTTCTCCCCCAGTTCTGGACTCCCAGAGCCCAGAAGATTGGCCCAGGGTCACACAGATGGCCAGGCATCAGGAGGGGACACCTGCCTGCGACAGGGTGTGGGCACGAGCTGATAAACTCACGATGGCACATAGCACAGCTCAGGCAACGAGCACGCTGCAGGGGCAGGTGGTGTGGGCTGAGCCAAGGCAGGTTTGGAAGAGGTTTGACCTTGCTTCTGTGCTGCCGTTGGATTTTCCCCTTATTTTGCACTCAGAGCTGAGCCACACTGAGTTCTGATGCCACTGCACGTGTAAGTGCATTTATATCTCCGACCACAGTCTAACCAAGGGAAATGCACAGGGCTTTACATTAGCATACGGCAGCGGGCCAGCCTTGGTGCGCAGCCTGGGGACAGCCAGGCCCTGCAGCCCCAGCAGCCCCCTCCCGCTGCTGGGGATGACACTGGCAGAGCTGGGACAGCGAGGAGCAACCAAGCCTGCAAACTGTCCTGGCACACGAGCATGTTGCTTTCCTTCAGAGAGATCAAATCAGTTTCTGCAGCTCTCTCCCCTCCGCAGTGTTCAATACCTTGCCTTTTTATTTTTAAAATCTAACCTGGTCACAATCCCTGACCTCTCTCAACTTCCAAAAGCCTGAGTGGACCATGATGGGTCCTTAAACCACAGAGCACACAGGTAGGTCTGGTAGACTGATGGCTAGCTTCAGTAACACCCGCCCCCGGCCAAACCTCCAGAGCTCAAAAGCATCACATCAAATTTAGCTAAAAAACATTTCAGAGAGAAAGCAATCACAAACCTATTAATCTTTCTTATCGAGTCCCGGAGCTGTACCCGGACAGCTGTAATCCCACGGGTCAGGCCACGATACGAATGTCTTTTCCCCTTGTTTACCTGGACTCTGTTGCAACACGGCTTTGACAACGCTGCAGGCTCTTGTATTCAATGAAAATACCAGCATTGTGCAGGCTCCAGACAGAGCCAGACGGCTTTCCATGTAAACCACTGGATTATGCCAATATTTGACGCATCTGCCAATATCTGGAAAAACAAGTCTAAATGCCCATATTGTTATATAACAGAGAAACAACTCGGGCTTGGCGCAAAGGGCTACTGCCTCTCGCTGCCTTGATCCCGGGGAGGATGGAGGATGACAGAAGGAGAATTCCAGTTTCAGCTGAGGCCAAAGCCTTTGCACGCTAGCTGCAGGGGAGACGGGAGAAGCTGGAGCCCTTTCTCCTGCCTAAGTGGTCTTGGGTAAAATAGGGCTCTTACAGCAGCATCCTGAGCACATGGAGGTACTGGATGTGCTGAAGAAGGAATCCATGGAGGATTTGAGAGGAGGGGGCTCTTCTCTTTCCCAAGAGATCAGCCTGGTGCCCCCCTCCTGCTCAGCCTGATGAGGGGGAAAACTCTTGTTTGAGATTCCCATGTGGGGCAGCAGGGTGGCCAGAAAAGGAGCAAAGCACCTGAGAGGCTCTGGAAAACCAGAGCCTGGCATGCACACCTCTGTCCCAAAGAGCTGAGGACAACCTTTTATCCTGTTCCATCTGGTAACTCCAGCTAGGACAGAGCCCCTCTGCTGCTTCTGCTTCCTCCCCTGTGTGGTGTCAGAAGCAACCTAGAAGCAAGTTCTTCTGGGATGTAGAGCGCGAGCAGAATGAGGATGCCCTTTCTTCTCTGCCAGGTACTTCTGCCCAAAAAGGTACATCAGTGCCTAAACAGATGGACCGGGAGGCTAAAGAAGAAGAGGGATGAGCAAGATCAGCATTCCCATAGCCACAACAAGCTATAGGTGGCTGCATGTGGAAGAAGGGTATGCTGGCCCCTGAAACGGCAGCCCCACTGCCAGGGGCACGTGCTGTTCTCTCCCCTTT